TTCAGCAGCTTTCTGCCCCTTTGTGTTTAGAGTAGCTGTAGCTTGTTTTCTGCCTGTTTTGATAGTTTGGGAGTCTTAGTGATAGTGAATGTTTGGTTGTCCATTTGCATGGTAAGAACAGTATGTGGTCTTCAAGTAGATTAAATCACAACATTCTGAAAAACTGTTTCTGAGAGATGTGTTATCCTACATAAACAGTGCTGTGTGCCACATAACATGAGCATGGCTGTAGAGCTACAGGAGGCATTTTGCATCTGAGTGACCAGACTGTACAGACAACACCTAAATCCTCAACTTGAGCACTATTGCTAGTTTTTCCAGGATGGAGAGGACAGCAGGAGAGTTTACAGTGGAAAGGTGTTTGCTTCAGTCCAGGTGTGAAGTAATTGAACTGTGTACAGTATGAATGCAAGCTCATCAGATAAAGCACTCCAGAATCTGATTACCCATGCCAAAAAGGTTTGTTCAGGCTGGTGTAGCATAGAAAAAATACCTAGTAGAATGATGGGAATCTCTTCTGAAAGAAAACTTCAAGACTTAAGTCCTAGTAAAAGGTAGTTGGAGATGATTGCTTTGCTAGCACATGATATGTCAAGGAAATATGTGCTTAGGAGGAGACCTGTGACCTGCAGCATGCTGAACAATGTCCTTCCAATCGTTGGTGCATTCCATCTTGCCTCTTGTAGTCATCTCTGCTTGAAGCATGTTGCTGGTATGTCTTTTGGCTAATGCCTAGATAAATCTCTTCATCCTGCTCCATATTCTCTGCTTTTAAAAACCTGCCAAAGTCTGTCCTCTTTATTTGGGATCCTTAAATGTTTGGAGTCTCTCCCTTTGACTTTAAATTTCTGTAAAAGTGACACAGTTCTTTACCTGAATAGACTCATGGAAGAGAGTAAGAACAGCTTAAATAACTATCTCTTAGCATTAGGACTGTTCACACTATTCTGATTCCTTTGTCAAATCCTGTCAGTCTGCCAACAGCTACCCAATTAATCAAACAGAACCAAAAGATACAGAATGTAATTTTATTTATGATGGATATTTTCTCTTGGGTTGTACCAAGCATGGTTGTGAACATTTAGGGTGAAATTATTCCCCAACTTCTTAGGTTGATCATTTGCAGTAATGCATCAATCTAACTGCAGTTGCAAAATTAATCCTTTTTATACAACACAAGTGAAACTGGACCAACAAGGCTTCTAAGGTAACATGGTGATCTAATATGTATGCTCCATCCCCGGAAGGAATGTTGCGCCATTAATTACATTAAACCCTTGGGAAATATGCTTTGACTCCAGTTTTGCAAACAAATTAAGATCTAACATCTTAGATTATTCAACAAGTCTTTTTTATTCCTACATAACTGATCTGCAATTTGTGGACTGGCAGACTGGTTTGTCCAACTGATTGTGGTTTCTGAACTTCTAGAGCAGTTACCAGGCAGATCAAGTAGCATGGGTGTCCTGAGGAAGCTTTGTAGAAGGATTTGTGTGGTTGCAGGGAATTGAAGACAGTAGCCACCATATAGTTCTGAAATTTTGGTCTCTCTTGTGTATGCCTGAGAAGTGTTTGTGTCTGGTTCAGTACTGGGGTTGTCAAAGACAGCAGTTGTTCCTTGAGGTTCACGTTCCAAACTCTGGCCTATTACCACTTCTCTCTGTCATTGTTTTTGTTTGATGCTTCTTACTCAAACTATACTTGAGGGGAATAGAGGAAAAGTTGCTATTTGAGATTAATGTATTTAATCTTTTTTCTCTTGAAAAATTCCCACTAATGTGGTACAGCAATGTGGTAACTTACACAGGGAGTCTGAATTTTTCAGGTCCTGGTGAAGGTTAATGCCAAACAAGAAATTTTGAAGTTCAAAGAATTTTATGCAATACAAGGAACTTGACATATGCCTGCCACAAACTTTTGTTTTCCCATAAACCATTCAGATCAGAAGAGGTGAAGTTCCTCTAGCTTTTAAAATTTATTGATGACTAATGTGTTTCTGAACTACATTAGAATGGGACTTAGCCCACTGCCTTGGTTTATGTATTTCATAGCACTTTCCCTTAAACACAACTAATGTTTATGTTAAGTAGCTTAGATGCAATGTGTGATTGCACTGTAAATGCAGGACTTGGCTTTGAAAATAATCCTTATGACAACTGTTCTTTATTTGGAAACTAGAGACAACTTCTTTTCTTTTAGCTATTATTTTAATAGGCTTGGTGGTAGTACCAAATATATGAAGTTTGGGGTTTGTGGGGTTTTTTTTTTCCATTTCATTGGTCACAATGTTGCAAAGTTATTCTGCTTTGCCCTGATGTTGGCAAATCCAGGCTCTTTTTTTATGTGCATCTACTCCCAACAGTTGCAGTGAGAATCACAACAGTGATTCTAAGTGTTCTTTATCTAATTTGTTGTTGTTGTTCCTGACTTTTGTGCTCTTTTTACAAAGCATTTATGAGTACTGACTCACTCATGAAAATGTGAAGAGTGCTTTAATTTCCTTGTGATGAAGGGAAGGGAAGGGAAGGTTCTTCAAAGCACCTGCTTTGTGGAGCTGTAATTTTCAGAAATAAAAGGAGAAATCCATCTGTAGCTTTTCATTATGTGAAGGAGGCATAAGAACATAGGGTGAAGGATAGACATGATGAAACTGTATCAGCTGGTAGAAAAACACCCTATTGCTGCTGTCAGTGTCATGTGTTACATGGGCGAGTCTCCTCGCAGCTGTGCTGCTGTTCTCTGGAGGTATCCTGGAGAGGTGAAGTTAGCTCAGCATTCCCACACACAGCTGTCAGCAGGATTAGCATATTGGGATGCCTGAGCTCTCTGCCAACAGAAAGCAGCTGGGTGGAATGGGTTCAGACGCTAGAGATTCAGGAGTAGTAGAAGTTAGTAGAGAAGATAGAAAGAATGGATGAGGAAAAGGGAGTATGAATTGTAAGTAAAAAAACCAGCAGCAAAGCATCTTACCATGCTGACAGATGTGAGTGGTAGAACCTGTGTTATAAATTTTTTTAAAATATATTTGTACTATAGGGGCCTGAGACTGGCCTCCTTGATCAGTTGGTAGCATTGCCGTGTGACAATAGCAGGCTGGCCAAGGCCGTGATGGACACCAGTCAGGCTTCAGGCTCAAGCAATTAATCTTAAAAACAATGCTGTGCTACGTAGTTCTGTTCACTTGGGAGTTTCCATGCTAAGCTGCTTTTGTTGAACCTGGCAGTTTTGCCTCACCCTGTTCCTTATCCCTTACTCATTTCTGGTACTCTCTGGGCACTCTTGGAGCTCAAGGATCTGGGTAATAGAAATACAGCAAGACTGTGAATAAGACATTTTCAGGATTTGCAGACATTTGGAATACAAACTCCCCTATGCTTGCAGGGAGAACTTTGAGTAGGTAGTCCATCTGTCAGTCTGTTTAAAATCTCAAACAGCATAAAGCTGCTTATTCAGTTTTTTCAGGCAGAGTGGGTTCCACTTGAGTCTCATGAATTGCCTATTTAGTTGTCATTTATGTTGACTGAAAATAAAAGCTGATGATGTGTGGTCAAGGGAGAGCTGATCCAAGAGTGAAGTTATGGGAAAATAATAGGGTCTTTTCCTTATCAGCTTTGTGTATAATTGAAAGAATTGAAAATCACAGTAATAACGTGAGACTTTGGGGGTAGGAATTCAGTGCCCCTGTGGTGGGGAGTGCTAAGGGTGCTGAGGAAGGCTTACATATGGAAATAACTGCTCTGTGTGAATATGAGATGCCTTGAGAATCCAGCATTTGTCCTGTGACATAAGTTCTAGTTTATCTATGAGGTAGGGTAACACCTCATTAGACCTCAATTAAAGTGAGGTATATCTTCTGATCTTACTCATCAGAATGTAATAAAAGCAAAAGATCTTTTTGTGCCCTTCCTAAAAGAAGATTAAATTAGTTTGAGAACTTCTGTTAAGAAAACTTTTGCCTTAGTAAGAAAAAAAAACTGTTCATAGTAAAGACAGTGCCACTCTCTAGTCTTGCTGTAAAATAGCAGAAATGCTGTAAAATAGCAGAAATTAAATATTATAATGGGAAGCTTCTGTAAATGGAATCATTCAGGCCAGGTATTAAATTAGTGGGTGACATCCTTTGGCTTTCCTCTTTAATCCTAAGAGCATTCTATAGTTTTTGTGAAGCTTCAGGTTTCTGCAGGCAAGTGTGTGTATGTATTTGTCATGTCATTTTAGAATATCATCATTCTTCACACCTGTTATTAATAACAGGTCTTTTTCTCCAAGTTTTCTGGGTTGTCTTCTTGTTGGAAAGTTATGAAAAGGGAAGCCAGGGGAAGGCTCTAATGGTACATTGCTTAGCCTTCAGACTGTGGGTCCACAATACACATTTCTGAAGCAGTGGCACGTGCTGTGAAAAAGCAGTGCACTGTGGTGGCAGGGCTGCTTTTTAAAATAAAACCAATGCTTTTTGTACTTGGAGAGAAACCTTTATTGCAAAGATCCTGCTTGTGGACTCACACAGAAGATGGGAAGTGAGAGGCAAAATAGGACCCATTTTCCTCTTGCAATATTGAGCCACAAATAATCTGCTAAGCACCACGTGCTGCCATGCAAGATGTTTTTCTCATGGTTTGCCAATCAGATTGATTTCCATTAGTCATTTGAGTCTGAGTACTGAATATGGAATGCATTTTTCCTAAACGAGACGTTCTCTTCAGAATGGAAGCTAGAGCTACACATTTTATGAGTGCTGAAATATCCATAGCAGTCTTTCAGTTTTCTGTTTTTCATTGCTGAAATTCCAGTACTGGAGCTCAGGTGTATAGTACTGTTGAGTCAGTAGATACAGATTTTTTCAGGATATCAGAAGAAATATAAGTTACAATTATAAAGAACAATTTTGTTCTTTAATATATGCTGTATTATCAACATGTTGCAGTGGCTTTCAACATTACTGTGAGTCCTTTTATTTCTTTGGTTCTTTGTTTATTTTTTTATTTATTTTTCCCCTGCAGCTCAGATGGAGAAAATGGAACCGATGAAAAAAGAAAGGCTGGAAAATCACCCACTGTGTCACTTCAGACCCCTACCAGTGAAATGGAGTATTTTGATGAACGGAAAAAAGTTGATCTTGATAGGTAATGCCAGAAATACTGTCAGTTTTCTTCTAGTAAGATAATTAAAATCGCTGCAACCCACTTCAAAAGCTAGACTAGGTAGCAATATTTATCAGATATCCTAGGGTTAATTTGCCCTAGGATATGCTATGCACGTGAATTGGAATCCAGGCACCTTCCTTAGTTGCTGTATTACCCATTGCAAGCAGTCACAATAGAATTTAGACTCTGAGCTGGCTTAGTTCCCCTGTTCTAGGAAAAAATATATTGCACTGTGTGGTGCCACTGCTAGTTACGTTCCTTTCGTAATCAATTTGACAGGCAGTCAGACAGAGCTGCAGTTTTAGTCCTGGCCTGTTTCCAGAACACATTCATGCTGGAATATTGATTGTCCATGGTAAAACTATGACATAAGTTTTAATTTTGGAGTCTGTGCCATATGTTGCATCAGATTTTCTAATGTCTCTACAAAGATATTCATTCTTCTTTTGTTGGAGAACTGAAATGCATTTTAAGTGCTTTAAAAGCTAAAATCCCTCGTGGATGGCTTGAACCTTTGCATCCCTGTCAACTGAACAGTCAGTGCAAAAGTCAGTGGTCAGCCTTTGGTCACAAGGCAAATATTTTTAAAAAACATAATTTAATTTCATTAAGCATCTTTGAGAAAAAGGTTAACATATTTGAAGGAATATGTTATCACTTTTTTTTCCCTCCAAACATTGCAGTCTTACCTCTCATATGCTATAATTGAGTACTTCTGGTGAAGGCTAAATATAAGATTTTTGTCAGGTTCGCAATTTGTTTCAATTTGATCTGTACTTTATATAAGCACACAAATACATGTACTCACATATTTTTGAGTTTTCTTCTATGAAGACTGCCTGAATTATGCAGCTGGTTTCTCTGCTAAGTCAGTGTGTAAGTCAGATTGCTGTAAAATCTCTTTCCTACTGTGTCTCCATAGCACTTAAGGTTTTTCTTCCTCTCACTCATGTGGTGCAGTAATGGAAACTTTTGTAGCATCTTTATTTCCCTACTGTATCTTTAGCACAACATATTTTTCAGTTCATTCAGTATGAGTCATGTGATGTGTTTTTTCTTCTGCTGTTCGGTTTGCATCCTGAGGACCTCTGAAAAAGAGCTACCTGATTTTTATAGTATGTTAATATGCATTTATTCTGTGCCACATAGATCTCAGAGAGAGTGCTCTCAGAGAGTGCTCTCCTCTTTCTGATTTGTGAAAGAGTTGTCCCCTTCTCTGTTTGTTTTCCTGAAGAATCCATGCCATTAATTCCTCCTGTATAAAACAGCAAAACTGATTTTCCCAGCCATCCACAGAGAACTTGATCTGTACTTGATTTTGTTTGAGGTTTTGTCTGGGTTCCCAGTATAAATAGCTGGAGCTGTACAAGTACAGCTACCTATAGAGCTGGCACTCAGAATTCCATTTCATTTCCTGTAGGGTTGCTGGTTATCTTAATGATTTCATTGCATTATGCTACACTACACCGTTCATAGCCATCCTCTGACTTGTGGACCTATTCTTTGTTGCACTTTTCAAATGAGCTCGTAGCTTGTGTTACAAGTCATAGCTTTCTGTGTGCTGCCTTCCACCTCAACTACTAAGCTTTTTATCATTTTACCTTGAATTAGTAAGGAGTGTGCTTGCTTAGTATTAGTATTTCATATGTTGCCCAGAAATGAAGGTGAAGCTAAGCAATGTGATAATTCATTAAGCTGGAAAAATGTTTTGAACTTTCTGTATTTCCTTACCACATAGTCGGTTATTTAGAATACCTCTTCTAAATAAAATGGAGACCTTCATCAGGCTGTCATAGTCAGCAGTTTAAGAAAAGATACACTCCTCTTTATCTCTGCATAATCCTTGATGATTGAGATAAGTTATCTAAAGGATTATTATTTTCCGTGGAAAAGCACATCCTGTTGGTAACTTACCAAGACCAATGAACTGGGGCCAGGCTTACATCAAAGGCTTTAAATCTTCAGGACCAAGAGCACCACAGATAGTCCAGTCCTGACAAGCAAGAGTGACTCCAAGATTGAAAGGAAAAAACGTGCCTCAAATCAGGTAAGACAGAGACTCTATTTGTTTGCCTATATAGAGTAAAAGTAAACACAACTACTATGACAGGGCTTTTGTTTAGCAACAGTATAGTTCATGGTTGTATAAGGACACAGGTTCCTTTGTCATCAGTGTATTTGAGTCTGGATAAAGCACAATATAGTATTAATAACCACATAGAAAACAAAAAGGATTTTTGTAAAACAAGTGGGCAGAATGGGAAGGTGTGTGGAGGACAGGAAGTGAAGCAGGTCACTTGGTTGTCAGACTGTCTAATAAAGTGTGTGTGGTTTTGTTGTCGGGCTTTTTGTTTTTTAGCTGAAGGCAAATGCACACTTTCATAAGCTGTTTCTAGATGTTCCCATTGATGAGCCGCTGAAACAAAGTAAGTATTGTTGTTGTTGTCTGTGGATCCTAGATAATGTTGTTACCCAAGCAATGTGGTGATGTACAAGAGAAGCTATCTAAATTTTAAAAACTTTCAACTCCACTTACTTAGAGCTAGAGGGCCTTGATTCACATGCAATGGGCATTTTATTATAGTCTTGGAAAACTTAAATCTCTACATGTTTGGTCTATTTGGAAATTGTAGCCCACTTTGCCATTCCTGGAGAGTAACCTAATCTAATGCAGTATTTTTTGGTACTCAATCTTTCTTAATAAAGACTTTACTTGAGACAGCATTGATCAAGTGATTAGCTTGAGTTTTTGCTGTTGATGATGTTTTAATGATGTAGTTCTTAAAAGAAGAGAATTGTACACAGACATGTATAGCAAATGTTTCTTGAAAGGAGTGCAGGGAAGGTGGTTCATGAGCAAGAAATGGTTTGCTCAATGTCTGTGAATTAAAAGCAGTATTAGTTTACATGTGTTGCATCTCTGTTGGACATCCATTTTAGACAACAGCTGTGGAGCTGGAAGTTTAAAGACAAAACCTTTCATTAAAATTCTTCCCATTTTAGTAATACAGTTACCTACAAGTTAGTAAAAAGTTCATAGGAAGATAGGTCACATTCTCTCAGAAAATATTTTTGACCTTTGGAGGCTACTTGCATGTTGCCATTCATTTTATTCATTTTGGTTGTTGTCCTTCAAATACTTTGAGTCTAAACTTAGGCCTGTGACATCATCTGAGCTTGTCAGTATTAGTTAAACTTACTGAAAATTTTAAGGTTTGCAATGTTAATCAAAAGGCATAAACCTAAACATATCATAGCTTTATAAAAAGAACAAAAAAAAAACCAAAAAAAAAAAAACCAAAAAAAAAAAAAACAACCAGAAGCCAGGTTGGCTTGGCTTGGGCTTGGCTTGTGATTTACATTCAAGATTATAGAATTCTATTTGTTTCAGGCTTTACATGTGCTCTGCAGAAAGAAATTCTGTACCAAGGAAAGTTATTCCTTTCTGAAAACTGGATTTGCTTCCATTCCAAGGTCTTTGGTAAAGACACTAAGGTTAGTAAAATGTTTATATATAGAACAGTAATGCTATTCTTAAAAACTTGTTCATCACCACGAGTTCAAGTTACTGTGCGAGGCTAGGATAGTAATACTTCCAAGTTTTATTGAATAAAATCACTATTTATAAGTGATGTTTGAAATACAGTCTAAAACTGAACACTATTATTATTAGAGATTGAATCTTTTGTTTAAGGACTTCATGTCCAAAAGAAACAGATGAGAGGAAAGGATCTGACAAGCAGCAGTGAGAGCATTGTCAAAACCATGTAACAGAATTTGCAAAAATGTTTCTCTTGGGTTAAGTACATAAAAGAGGAGGAGGAGCTGGATTAAGGAAGGCTGAAAAATATTAAGGCCTTCAAGGCTGTAGCTGGGGCACTGGAGAGAAGGATTAAGCATATTAAGGGATTTAGAAAGCAAGAATTAAAACTGGTTTCTGACTTGAGTAGCAAAGCTCTCTGAAGGATTCTTCTAGCAGTCCTGTTTTGCATAAACAAAGAACAGGATAAAAGAAAAACAAATTGGCAAGGTTTTTATTTGTGAGCCCAGTGTGCAGATCAGAACTGATATGTGAACTGTTGGGAAGATCATAAATTAGTCTTTCTTGGTGATCCACCTAAAGCTTAGTACCCCTGAGGTGAATGATGTGCATACAGAAAAATCAAAGACTTGGGTCCGTTGATTTGGAGGTTTTGGAGTGCTCTTTGTTTACATAAACTGCTTTAGTTTTCACTGCATCTGGGGAAACAGATCAAAATGCTTCAAGGATTTCTTTGGCTTCTTCCTTTCAGGTGTATCCTTGAACAAAGCTTCTGGTTAGATCCAGTGATCTAGGGGTTGATTAGGGGTTGAGATTATCTCATTTCTCTGGGGTCAACTGTTTTGATGGTGTACCATCTGTTGTTAAAGGGCTTTTTATAAAGTATAAAAGGTTTAAAGATTGTTTAATATTATTGACAGCGCATTGTCCATAGTGACCTTATGGGTTATTGTCTACCAGCACTTGGCCCAGGACTATTGTTGATTTCTAGTTAATGGATTCTACTAGTCATAGACAGTACATTAATGTGGATGGTGTGTATGTTAGTGAAATTTGTATGACACAAAATAAAAAACAACTGGTTCACTACTGTCATTCAATATTAGTAACAGCTGTCTTTGCAATTTCTTAACATTTAAGCTGCTCTACTAGCAGTCTTTGGTTCACTGTGAACAATTACAGCTACTTCAAACTGTGGAACAACTTTGTAGTGCCAACTAAGCTAAAACTATTCAAGAATATGGTAGAACTTTATTGAGTAGAAAAACTGGTAAAATATGCAGAATGATGATGATGATGTAGTACTAGGAAATTATTTGTTAACAAGGTTTTAAATTCAGGAATATATACATGCTTACACATATGCTGAAGAGTGAAAACATTTTACAAGATAGGGTGGAATAAACACTGGAATTGTAATTATAGCAATTTTGCAAATTACTCAGTTTTGGGTCTTATTTTCAGAAAATATTGTGGGGAAAATTAAGAGTGAAGGAGATAGTCCTTATCATTTATTTACAGCTTCATTCTGCTTTTAGGAATACCTTCAAGAAAAAAGCTTAAGAATCAGGGATACAGTAAAAAATTATATCATGGGAAAGGAAGGAGGAAATCAAGCTGGACAGGAAGAGGAACATTCTTAGCAGTCAGATACACTGACAAAGTTTTCAGGACACAAAGATTCTGTTGATGAAAACTTGTAAAACCATACAAGCTTAGGGATAAAGTGTTTTATTCTGAGAAACAGCAGATCTATACATTCCAGTTAATTTTTGATAGGAGTTCTACCTGCAGGTTTGGGGGTTTTTTTCTGAAAGTTTTCATGCAAGGAACAGCTATGCAATTCAGGAGTTTTGAATATGCAGTAAAAACAGTGTGTATATTCAAAAGTAAAAGATTGCTTCTGCAGGATTGAATAGGCATAGAAAAACTTTTTTTCCAGGTAGCACTCATTTGGCTGTATATGTTGGCCTTGAGTCTTTCTTGGATTTAGACATTGTTTTACCCTTTTAAATTACTTTCAATGTTGCCTGCAGGTAAATCTTTTATTCTGAAACAATTACTGTTCCAGATAAAAGTATTTATGATCAAACAGTGATTCCACCCTTCCAATGTAATGCTGTGGGAGCAGTGCAGTAAGCAAGTGCTGAATGCACACATTAGTTTTGATTACAGTGATGATGTCCATCTAAACTACACACAGTAGAATGCCGTTTACATCTGTGATTTAAAGTTCTTTAAGGTGAATTCTGAACTGAACCAACTAGAAAAATTGTAAGCTGCTTTCTTGTAGCAGGATTTGTGTTCAAGCAGTATTTGGCAGTCTTGCAACCAAACTGTTACTTGCAAAGATTTTTCTTTTACCTGGTACAATTTTTCATTTCATGATTTTGTGTTACTATTCTGAACAAAAGTTAACAAGAAACTGCACAGAGTAAATCCATTCTCCTCCCATGGCATATTTTAAATCAGTGCTGTGATTGCAAACTGAACAAATTATGAACACTTTTAACCTTGCTTCTAAATTTCTCAGGTAGATCTGAGAGCCTGTGCCAAAAATATTTTTAACAGGATCTGTTTCTTAATCATGGGTGTTGTTATATTATATACATATCCAGGATTATTATATTTGCCTGACTCACTGAATCTCTAGGCTTTTCAACTCACTGTCTTCAAACAGATTTTTTTACCATTGTAAATTGGGATTTACAGGAAGAACCCATGCAGAATATCTGAAGCGAAATACTCTGAAAATTAGCAGACGTTACTCTAATGGTGTTGGATGTAAACATAAGGGAGGAAGGAAAATTGGGAACTTTTCAGTGTAAATGTAGACTGCCTCCTTGGCACACACAGGAATCAGCTGAAGTCAGCAGGTTTATCAATATTGGGTCTTTCAACCTTGCTGAAGGACGAGCTGTTTACTCGCCTGCTTGTTGCAGATCTGTAAGTGGTAAGAAGACTTTTATGCTCATTATTCAACAAGCTTTTCTTCTGATATGTTCTGAAATATTTGGTTTCTAAACAAAGAAACATAGTGTTAAGATTGGTTCATTTTGCTGATCTGCAGTGCACTAAGCCCATAGTCTTGTGAGAGCCAGAAGGGATCAGGAAAGGAAGACACAAACAAATGCCTGGATTAGCATTTTGTAAAAGGAGAAGTAAAAGTAGTTAGGTGTAATTTCAGATAATTACTATTTCTTATTTTACATGAAATAATAGTAATCAGAAGGGCAGTGGAGACATCTTTAAATAGTGAGTGTTGAAGGTCTGGCTTATCCCGGTACCTGGGCTGGCCCCTCATGAGAGAGTGTGGTGCAGATTTGTATGTGAGTATTGCGATTCCAACACTACATTTACCTTGTTTCAGATTAGTATACCTGTGCTGTCAGTGACACTTCTGAAGAAAACCAAAACTGCCCTTCTTGTGCCAAATGCTCTGATCATAGCAACGGTGACAGATAGGGTAAGTACTGGTAGAGGACAAGGTATTTCAGTGAGAAAATAAAGAATAGAATCTCTGTTTGCCACATGGTCTCTGTAATCATTCATTCCCTGTTTTCCAAGAATTCATAGCACCAGAGGAACTGGAAAAGCTGACTCAGGAGGTGCATGCACAGAGGGTTACCTTCTTTGTTAGCAGCTCTGTCAGTGTTCTGTTTACTTGTATCTCTTACCTAACCAGTCATACTTTAGACACACAAATACCTGTTGTTTACAGTGGTATTCAGGAATTGTACTTGCATCAATCAGTAGAAAAATATAATTATCCTAAGAGCAGCTTCAGAAACAATGCATTTTCATTGCACAAATATTCTGTGGGTGCTGGAGACTGTACATAAAAGCAAGTTTGGGGTTTTGTTTGTTTGGAGTTTTTTTAAGGGTTTGGTAAAACATAGCATGAAAAGCATTTTAAAAGAAAGAACAGATCTGGATTATGCTCTTGTTCCTGCAGCAGAACATGATAACTTTTATGTGCCTGTTCTGTGTTTGTGTGATAAACATCAAGTCGAAGCCTTAGAAAGGACCACAGGTTTTTGCTGCCGTACTTTGTTACTTGATCACCAGCAAAATCACCTGTCAAGTTTTATTTAGATAAGAGGAAAACTGTATGTCTTTTGCAAACAGTCTTGGAACTTTTATTTTGCAGTACATGTTTGTCTCACTACTCTCCAGAGATACCACCTACAAGCTATTAAAATCTATCTGTACACATCTTGACGTAAGTAGTAGTGGCAGTGAAGATGGTATGTAGTTTGTGTTCATTATTACTGCTATCTTGCTGTGAAATGGTACTTTCTGCTTGTGTTGCTTGTTGACAGTGCCACTTTTTTTCAGGATGCAAGCATGGGCAACAGTCCAAATCCCTCTTCTGCAGAAAACAGCTTCAGGGCTGATCGCCCTAGAACTCTGCCCCTGGTAAATGGCTTAGAAGTTAGTTCTTTTGTGGCATGGCATCTTTCATTGCAAGTACTATTTATAATGCCTGAAGAAAGCAAACTGCAGAGAATCATGACATCTAAAATTTCTAAACATTTCATGACATTTCTAAAATTTCCATGAGTCTTTAAGCTGGAAAACAGTTGGACCAATTACCATAATTATCTGTGACGTGCAGTTTATATACATGCGCACGCTTTGGATTTATTCAAGGTCTGTATGTTCTCCATATCTCTGTCTAGCAGTCAGATTTCACTGTACTGACATAAAGTCTGCCATGGACAGTTTTTGCAGTGTTTCTAGTAGCAAACCTTCCTCTGTAAAACAGTTACTCATCTGCAAGAGCTCTGAAGCTGCATGTGATAACCAGAGTCTTAAGTCTATGGACTTGCCCTAGACTTCACAGCTTGTCTAACTTAACAGTCTTTCTTAGAGACAAGGCAGGAGATGAAGCTTGAATTCTGGTGCTCTTATGGAGCTTATTTTTTAGTTTGATCTCAGCATGTTGATGTCAGAAATTGTTCCTGGTTAAACAGTTCTAAAGCTTGGATCTTTGGTTCAGATTCTAGAGGAAATTAGATTGTTTTGATTTAGAATAGGGATAAGCCTTTTTGTGATTTGTTCTACCCATCAGGATTTCACTGAAGATTATTCTGATCTGGATGGAATAGTGCAGCAGCGAAGACAAGAGATGGAAGAGTCCAGCAGCACAGGCTCACAGACACCAGAGCTGGAGTGCTTCCAAGGTGAGTGGGATCATGGAGCTTCAAGAGAAGGAGAATGGACTAGCTCTCAGTTTTGCTTCTGTATCCCCTTCTGATGTGGAATCTAGATTTGTTTGGTCCTGGAGAATTATGTGCATTTTCAGATCTTCCTCAAGGCCCTGGTATCTGCATTTCTGTTATTATGGCCCTCTGCAGTCCAGACTCAGGCAATGACTTTGTCATCAGTAGATCTAAATTGTTGCTGATTGTTCCAGTTGCTTAGCCATGTGAACAGAGATAGAATGTAGGAGCCATTCATGCTTTAAAACACGAAGGAAAAACAAATAAACAAAACCCATTTTAAAGTAGTTCAAGTCACAGTGCAACTTTTGATCTATACAAATAACACTTTGTGCTATGGTCACTTTTGGTCACCAAGGTTATTTTTGGCTTTTTTTGGTGGTGTTTTTTAAACACTCATTTTATTCTTTGCTGCTATTAAGATATTTGAAGATACCATCCAAAGTTGTTCTTTCTTTACCACACTCTTTGTAATCTCTTGTGTCAAGTTCTTCACCTAACTAGCAGCTGTTCTTCATTACTCATACTTCATAACTTCATGAGTACAGCAATACTTGTTTTGTGTAGCTCATGCGGAATGTTGTTGTGAAAACCTAGAGTATTCTCTTATACAATTAATATATATTAAGATACTAATATGTTGTTATGCTGCTAGTACTCTGGGTTCCATCTTGACTGTAATTTGTATAAGAAACTGCTGAAAGATACTGTCATTTTTTTAGCAGTTCTCTGTCATGTCATTTTTTATTAACTCCTTTTTGCTCTGTGTTTTTGTTCAGCCAAATAATTTGGAGTTACTTGCTTTCATTGGTATTTTACATTTACAGTGCATCTGTATTTAATTGTGTGGTGCTGTTCATTAAATTGTGGCATCATCACATGCCACAGAGTGCTTCTAAATAATTTTTTAACTTGCTGCCTTACTTCGTGATGGCTAGTAACTACTTCAAGCCATTTCTTTTTCCACAAATGAAAACCAATATCCAAGCAAAGAGCCATCCTAGGAAAAGGAGTTGAAAGTAGGGGTGAAAGGTAGCACGTCTGTCACTCATGGTTGTTTTTTGTGCATCATTAGAGCAAGCCCAGGTAAACAGGTAGAGCATAGAACTGAGTGTGATTAGATTTTTCTGTTCCATTTCTTTCAAGATACCACTGGCATTTTTAAACGCAGTCCAGACAGGAAGTTTTAATGCCCTTTTTAAAGTAACAATGCACTATCCTCATTTGGTGTTGCTATTAAAGTAATTTGGAATCATTACTCTAGCAAATTCAGGCCTTTTGAGAGATTACTTTTGTGACTATAATCTTCTGCCTGGAAATTCAATAGTAGCTTTCAAGATTTTCATGGGTTGCCATCTTTTAAAAGATCTGGAATAGAAATGCAACATACATTTACATTATCTTCTTTCAACCCAAATGCTTCTTTTTATTTTGTGTTGATGTGGAACTAGTACGTAAACTGTTTCAAGGATACTAAACCAACTTCTACTTTTTACCCAAAAGTACAGAAATGCACCTTTTAAAATTTTCCTCTTTCTCTATTTCTTGACCAAAATAAACTATCAACAATTTCACTTCTATTAACATTCTTTCTTTTGACAGATTATCGCGTTGTTGAAACAGAGACTCATTTGAAAGTTTCCAAGCCTGAGGCCAAGTCTATTCGTTCAGATGCACATAGTAAACGTGGGCCTGATGGAAAAGCCCGAAACAGTCCTCGAAATGGTAAGAATTCAAGGACAGATCTGCAGCTGGAATAACTTGAGATAAGTTTGCAAAGTACATCAGTTCACATAATATGCAAGAGCTCTTTCTTGCTTCTCCCTCTACATTATCTGTTGCAGTCTTCAAAACACTGTTTATATTCTGTGGTCTGCTCTGCTCAAAGTAAGACTTGGTTCTTTCCCTTGCAGGCCACTCTGAAGCCTTCAGGTTCCTCCACAAAGTGAAGTCCCAGAAGCTCTTATCTCTGAACCATGTACTTGTATTTTATGCAATTCTGTAAGTTAGCAATAACAAGATTGTCAAAAACTAGGATTTTCTTATGTTTACAGGATTGATATAATGTAAGCGTGATTGATATAATCTAAGCTTTACTTGAGAAAAGGAAATTATTGTGAATTGTGGCTTTTATACTTCCCAGAAATGTGTATATACATATGTACATACATACATATGTACCTATATCTATATAAGCCTGCTGCATCCGGCTTATACTTAACTGGCCATTTACTTTTAAAAGCAAAGAGTCTTTCGATTCAGAAAATTTTAAAAGTGTTTAAGTACTTGCAGAGGTTCCTTTTGCATGTCATTTAGCAAACACATACTCAGGTATGAGATTTTCATAACTGTCTGAATGCCATTGATGCTATTCCTGAAATGTTTCTAAGAACAATACCTTTATTATTGAACATGTGCAAGTAATAATTTAAATGGCTTTTAACAATGAATTTGTCAGGTGCTGCTAAAGTTTCCTTAACTGATACACTTTATTTTTCTCTCTTACAGTGTTTGTGTTTTAATACTTTCTACCTTCTACATGAGATATAAAATCAGTGTCCTGGAGGAACGCCTTATGTCCATGACAGCCTTTGATTCACATATTAAGGAGTAAGATAAACTCTGGAAAAATATTGGGGATTTAAATCTTTTTCCAGAGCAGTGATTCCATGAAAAAGGTGTAACTTCTGTCTTCAGTCTTAGTGTCATTTGATTAGTATATTAGAAGCATACTTCATGCTCTTTGAGCTAATACATGTGTTTTGCTTGTATAAAGCTTTGTGTTGTCTATATACCATTTAGAAACTGATATCCTGTCTTTCTGAAATAAAAAACCCCACAATAGAAAAACAAACCAAATCAAAATCCAAACACACCAAGGGACAGGTGTCTGTATATTTGAAGAGGAAACAGGGAAAGGGACCATAGTTGCATATATAATTTCTTTCTGTAGCTGAAGTCATGGCTGTCATCTGCCCCTGCACTTAGTTTTTTTGGATTTTTTTTTGGCTCCATGTTGCATAAATGGGAATATACAAACATTAAATGGAGCAGCAGTGCAGAGGTATGTGGTTTTTTTCCAGAGTAGTTTGCCTCTATAAGCTGTATGGGCTCCCTGCTCTTGTCTTTGGAAGTTAAACTGGATACTGCTGAGAATACTAATCAGTTTATTGATTTTGCATTAACTCTTCTCCCCTTCTTATAAGAGATTTTTTCCCTGAGCTGCTCTGAAAAATATGGCTTTGAAAGTCATTTATAAACTCAGTGCAAAACCTGCAGCCACATGCAATATGAGTGGAAATGATGACTGCTGGAAAAGCACCATGTGGAAAAGAGAAGGGAAAAACAAAATTCAAGACAGAGCTGCTGACTCAGGCATGGTGGAACTGTTTATAAAGTGGTTCAAATTTAGCAAGCTCTTACATAAGTGTGCTTTTAAATTCAGCTTTCTTTGATTACCCATCCATGACAAAACAGGTCACTCTGACATTGCACTTGTGGTCATATCAAACAATGACTGTGCTGTTTATGATCCGACTGGTCTCAGCTGTCATCTGTGGAAAGCAGTAGGATTTGTATGCATGTGTCAGAAGACAGAGCCAGGTTCTTCATTAAAAAAGGGATAGAAGGAAATTATGCTCTATCGATGCAGCCTTGCATTTAGATTTTACCTTTTTATAATCCAAGAAGTGGGGTAAACCTGTCCCACATATTAAGCAATGTCAAAAGCCTTTTTTCTCACTTCTGGCATATTTTTATTAGCAGGATACTGTATCCCTCTTCAGAAACACTAACACAAGACAGTCCTGATTTTGTTGCTCTGATCCCAAACAGTACAAGATACAGGAAGGAAGATCTAATGTGCACTTCTGCAGTGTCAAGGGCTTGGGCTTTCCAATTTCCTCCAGGTCACAGGATGTGGAACTTACAGAACTTTTCAGGGGAAATAGCTCAAAAGTGTTCTATCCAGACTTCTTGAGAATGAGATTTCTGGAAACTAGTACAGTTTACAATTTTGGCACTGTTGCCATCTACATGTGTGTCCAGTTCTGTTTTCCTCATTTTTTGAGTCTGTCACACTTAACTTTTTCATTCTATTTGACAGACATCAAGTGCACCAAGATTTGGGATCTCACCTGCAAATTAATGCTGATGCCCTTTGTGATGAGTTAACTGCTAATCTTAGGAAATTGGAAAAGGTAACATTGTATGATATAATGCAAATGCTGATAGACCCATCAAGTTCTTGCTGTGTTTCTATGATCTTGTATCTTGAAAAGTGTTGAGTTACCCCAAATTTGATACCAAAAGGTGGCATGTTTTCCTAGACAAAGGACTAGTTTTCAGACTATAAATTAACCCTAATATAAACATTGGTATGTGTAAAAGCTTTGCCTTGAACCGAAGCTTATAACCAGGCCAAGTGTCCCTGAGGCAGGGTGATTATTGCATTATGTAGTCATCTCAATTGGTTTTTTTCTTTTTTTTTTTTTTAGTCCATCAGGGCTAAGGATTTTAAAATTAACCTTTATTGGTATTTGATTAATTTTTCTGTTTGGGGCTTTTTAGGAGTTTTGATTAAGAAAAGTGGTGCTTGCTTACATATGCAGTCAGCTTCTTCACACAGAGTGGCTGAGATCTGCTTGTTTTATTCCAGTAACACCAATGCTGCTGCACCTGTTGTGCAGTTCCCTATACTTGACCCTTGCTTTTTACCATTCTCTAATTGGAAAACTAAACATATTTGGTGACTTAAATTGGAAGCCTATGCAAAGCAAGTGGATGTGCAGACCTTATTTCCTTATTTGGTGTTTTTCCCCTTTCTAAAACACTTTACCAGAGACTCCACTGCTCTCGTGGCTGTGCCCTTGCGTGGGTCTGCTGGATGCTGTTGGAATGGTTGTGCCCAGCACAGGGCAGCCCCTGGCCCTGGCACACTGCTGCTGCCCCTGCAGACCTTGCCCCACCTGCCCCCAAACCTTGACAAATGCACCCAGTACAGGTGGGTGAAATGCTGTGTGTTGGGTACACATACACAGGCAGAACATGACAAAAGCACTAGTGGAACAAAACCAAAAGTTACTTGAATTCCTTTGTGCTTAAGTCACACGGGATATTTTTGCCTCTGTTTCTAAAACTGAGTCTATGCCAAAGTCTTTCAATGCCTTTTTTCCCCCAAACCAAATTTTTCAAATAGCATAAAGCTAAGAATATAAAATACCACTGTTTACATGTATGGCATAGGTTTTCGAAATAGTGCCAAAAATGGGTTTCTTCCCCACATTGTCACTCTCTTGGCTATGGAAATATTGAGTAATGCTGGCTTAACCCCTCTGTATTTTCTGGACAATAACAGCGTGAATACAAAGGAGAAATGCTCTGGTAACCAGATGGTTACCAGATGGTTACCAGATACAGTCTTCTGCCAAATTAGGTCATTTAAGAGGTTACTGCTTTCTGGCTGTCTGGGACAGGCTGGCAAGATGGTTCATAGGAGACCTGATTTCAGTGGGAAGCCTGCCAGCCAGCCCTCTGCAACAAGGCTAGGCACTGTCCCCACTCCCTTATATAGTCTCTGCTTGGAGACAGTAATGGACAGCTGGATGGTTAGGTCATTCAGCTGTTCACAGAGAAGTGACCTTCTGTCCTGAACTAGAGTCTTAAGTGGTGTGCATTTTTTGTTTAGTGTCTTGCTTTCTTTATTTCATGTCTACAGGATTGGAGCCTTAAAGACTTACCTTTATCTGCCAGATATTCAGGGTGATGAAGTGCTCTGCATACAAGCTAAATCAGAATTGCCTGTAGCTGTATATTACCACATCCTGTTCTAATCTAGATGAGCAGTGGTTAGAAATCTGACAGCTTTTTGTTCTCTGAGCAAAGTTGCTGCAGTTGTTTACCAGTTTCATATGCCTTAGTGAAAAGTGGCTGCAGCAGCAAAGGTAGCATACATGTTCTAGTATAACTTGTCATGTCTTCCCTTACTTTCCCTGTGACCACAGCACTGTAAACTGGAGCACTGAGATTATCTAGATTAAAAACTAAAAATTACTCTGCAGTTAAAAATTGGTTAATGCATGAATATGTAGCAATGATTTTTTCTGTGCGACCTTGTGATTTTTACAAGTTCTGCTTCATACTTGGAGTCAAGGAACTGCCATTGTTTAGCAGAATTCTGCTAACTTGGCTTTTAATTGCATTTAGCAGCTTGTTAAAATGCAGCGTGTCTGTCAACGGATAAAGCATTAAATTGTGGGAGGGAAAATGTGGCCTAATATTACTCATTCCCTTACACTAACTTACCAAACTAAAAGGAAATTCCTGTTTACGTCTTAAGCAACTCTCATAAAATTAGGTGCTTCTTAGTGTTTCCCTTTCCTCAAAACATCCTTCTTGAGAAAGGTGTGCATGTGGGATGGAAATCATGATGTAGGACTGAAAAGTGGTATCTTTGAACAGGAAGTACAGTGGCTCCTCAAATTAAAGCCTGAAAGTAGCTGTGACTAAATCTGTAACCGGTGCCAGCGAGTTACTAAGATACTGAGATACTGAGAATGTGTGTGTCTGGGGATGTGACCCACTCTATTCCCTCCTCTCTGCTTTTAAGGACAAGGAGATGAAAAGTAGGTAAATAGGCTGTGTAAAAATAGATCTGTTCAAATTATTCTGGAGGATGCAACTGGCTGACAATACTTTCATTGCAGCTAAAGGAAGATAGTCCACAATCAGTTCACTGAATCTGGTAAATGGGACATGTCTGCTAATGGTTACAAGACTGTACTTTACTGTGCATGTATCATGGCTGAAGCTGTTAAAAAACTATTTGAATTATCCATTTAGCCATAGAGCTATGACTTGGAAGTTTGAGGCTTTTACTGGATTTTGATCAAGGTGAAAATAATTCATTTTCTTCTCCCATTGCTTTCTAGTTCTGATTTTTATTTCTGTCTTATGACTAATGATGGAGACAATCTATAGGAGAAAATTTCAGAGGATATTCATTATATGAAACTTGCTGGTTGATTGTCTAGGTGTTACATTTGATGCACTTTTATTACACTTACAATAAGGGAAGCATTTAACAGGAATACCAGAGGTATGAAAAGGTGTGACAGAATTAACATGCAGACAGAGTATATTGAAGAGTATGTCTTGATATTTTTTTTAATTTAAAATGCAGTGTAACACTTCTTGCCTCACAGCTCTTTCCTCTCTTTTTCTAAGATACAGAGCAACTTACAAAAACTACTTGAAGATGGTGAATGAAACATCAATGTTCTTGGACTGCTTCAGACCTCATTCTTCTGTTTTGACAAACTGTTCCAAAGGAGCTCTGCTGGCCGGAGTTCAAGCTTCTTTATTTTCAGTCCAAGCCAAGCTTAAACTACTGTAAAGCTCATGTCATAATGCAAAAAAGTCATTTGATTCTTCAGCATATATCTATATATTTTGCAAACATATGGTTTGGTCTACATGTATCTATGTTTTAAAAATGTGGGGATTTTTCTTTCTCTGTTGTGTGTGAATTAATGGATTTTATAGCTTGCTTGATTTTAGAGTTGCTTTCACCAGTGCAAACCTTGTGCATATCCTTTTACCTCAACATTCACTTTATGCCTATTGTCCTACAAGTATATACGTGAAGAATGTCAGTCATGATTCATGTACTGAAGTGTTGTGTGAATGAGCAGGTATCTGTTTTAGCTATGATTATGGATTGGTGCTGTGCTCTTAATTTTTACTTACTTCTCTGCACCCTGACGAAAACAGATGCCTCTGTGTTTGGGTATGAATGTTTGAGGTCTGCTCAGTTCTCCAGCACTGTAAAAAGGCTCAAGTCCGCTTTTTGTGACACTGTATCACCACTGAGGGTAAAGTCTGTTTCTACTGGGCATTCAGGTTCCATTGAAGTCAAGCCTGAAATCTCTATGGACTTGCCAATTTGCAATCAAGTTGTTTATGAATAGCAATATGGGTGTGACACACCTGCACAACTTGGAAAAACTGCTTGTTTTCTGTCCACTCGTGTGGTCTCTGTCCTTTAAGTTAATCAGTGGGAAGATCCTCAGTCAGCTTTCCTTGGAGTTCATGGGGTTTTGGTTGGCTGAGCAAGTGCAATTTGTAGTCCAGTAAATGGAAATCTGGTCTTGGCATGTGACTCCAGGGACTGGATATTTCCATGTAGTGAGAACAGGCAAATTAATGGTGCAGCAATACAAACAATCAGTAGAGTGAATGAAAAAGTGGACACCTGCTTCATTGTATCACATACTGGTTTTTTCCAGAGTGCCTAAGATGGGGATTTTTAGCTTTCTGATTCACCAAGCAGGCTCATTAGTTTTTAAAAAGCAATATTTAGGATAATAACTACTATCTGTGAAGTAACAGTATTGTTTATAATATGCTATGCATTTTATAACCATTTCTGTGAAATGTACCTACTTTGTTTAAATAAACTTTTTTAAAACCAGTGACTCAGTACTATAATTTGGATGAACCCAAGTCCATCCATCAGTTTTAGTCAAATGTGATGTTCATGAGGCTTATATCTCGTGGTACAGTTTATGCAAAACCCAGCACTCAACACAAGGGGTTAGGAACTGCATCCTACTTCAGTCCTTCCTCTGACTCCATTGTGCGTGACTTCTTTCTGCATCTCAATGACAACGGGAAGAGCAAATTCGGCCCCCAGAGTTTTGGGGACATGTTAATAGTTTTCTCAAGTTCCTCAGGTTTCTCAGGTTTCCTCCTTGGAGGATATTGGATGGGTATCAGAATGCCGAGGCAGCTTTGAGGGCTCTAACATGCCTGCCTGGCTCAAGATTCCTCATGAGTACAGTATGTAAGAAATTATTGAGATTTGACTGTTCTCCCTATTGAAATACCTGCTTTTGCTTCCTTAGCTATTGTGACTTTACTGGAAAACTCAGCTTCACAAGAAAAATGTTGAAAAAAGTTTCGTTTTTTTCCATTTTTCCCCCTTACTTTCCACTACAGTTGCACAGCTTATGTAATGTTTTGGACTCTCAGCTCATCCTCTACCTTCTCTTGTTCCCTCCCTTTAATTCTGTATCAGAAGTCTCTAGCTCTGTGGTTGAAAAATTGATGCCATGAGTCACTTTTATCAAAGGAATTACAAGAAGACTTGGTTTTTTCCAGCAGCTAAACTGAGTTAGCCTTTTACTTACCTTACATTGTGAAGTCTGTGCTTTTCTACAGGAGAACAGGGAGAGAGATAATATTTGATAGGTGCCTTAAGTGAATCAGGCAGGCTAAGGCCTTATCATTAGCCATATGGAACACAATAATTACTGTATGGAATCAGCAATCAGAGGTGGGTGTGTGCCCTTTAGCCTGCAGCAGCAGCATGCCAGGGGAGGCGAGTCTGCACAAAGGTGTAACAGCGTCCTTCTAACGCAGGAAGGTGAGCTGTGCTCCAGAGAAAGGATTGGATTGTGACAGTTGAGTCACAGCAGCCTCATGAGCGCAGTGGCACGGTTCTGTGTGACCCCTGCCCTGCCCTCCTGTGCTGCCGTCACTCCCCGTTTTCCCAGAGGGAGCAGGAGGAGGGCTCAGGATGTCACACTCTTCGGGCACCAGGGCAGGGGTGGGCAGCATGCAGTGTTCAGGTACCCCAGGGAGCCCTGCAAGGCCCCACGTGGAGAAAGCTTAGAAGGGAGTGGAGTGATTTAAATCCTGCAATTTAGGCTTTTAGGCTTGGGATGGAGCGGGTTTGCACCAGTGTTTGGGAGGGAAGTACTAGCAGCAGGGATAAGCAAGGAAAAGCTGCTTCCCCCGAGGCTGGGAGCCTGTTAAGGAGCAAGGAGACTTATTCCAATATCTGTGGCAGGCAGTGCATACAAAGGCAACGAGGAGGGGCTTTGCCTTTTGGCAAAAGTGCGAGGTTGCAGGAGTAGATGGGAAAGATGTGTGACTTTAGGGAAGTCAAAAATGCAGACAAAATTCTTAGCACACTCTCTTAGTAACAATCATTCATAATTTGCTTCATAGACTGCATAGAAATCTGCTTTTAAAAGACGGTTTTAAAATTTCTTGTGTGTTTGTTTCTCCAGCTTTGTCTACCTTTTGTCCTTGACAGCACAGAGGCTGAAAACAAAGAAGACAAACAAACAAGAAAAACAGCTGAGTTCTACCAGCCATGCAGGACTAGTGAGGGCTAGTGCCAGGTTCTGGGAAGATGCTTTGAGTTGAAGGTGGAAGGCAAGAGGGACACATCACTTGTGTTTTCTCTAGTTGGTTAGTGAAAAACATAATGAGGATTTGTAATGGCTATTTGGATTGAGGGGTTGTTGAATTAGTTTTCTGTCAAGGTATCGAGGTATGAAGTTTATGGTGCTGTTGATGTGAAGGACGCAGCTGGCACTCTATGATCAGCTGAAAGCCTCCCCTCTCAACAGTAGTAGGTCCCATTAGCATTTGCAGGAAAGACAAACAGTTTTGCCTGTGTTTTTGTCTGAGTATGTCTGAATTTAATATTACTAACTTCTTGCATGTGAAGTTGCATTACTAACTGCTTGTACAGGTGTGTGGTAATGCTTTCTGCTTCCTGCTACATCTGCACTTTCATTTCCATGTTTCCACCTCATAGTCAGTTGACAAATGATAAAGAAATATCCAGGTTGCTGATATCCAGGCCTTTGCAGGCTATTGCTCAGCTGGTTCAGGCTATTGCAAGTGAGGTGTTATTCCCACATACATAGGAGATTTTGCATTTACAGAGCAGGTGTGACATGCAGTAATGATCAGAAAAAGCTGGCTGTTGAGACAGAAAACTGAGCAAACAGTAACACTGAGCAAACATTTCTTTTTGTGTTCAGTGCCTGTGTGTAAGCTTCTATAAACAACAGAGGAATAATGTCATTTGAAAGGATTTTACCAGCATCTGCTTTTCAGTTTCCCTGGTGAGACTATCTGAGTCTGTCAGGCAAATTTGCTCAAGAGGGAAAATTGACTCATCTCATTTGATGCTTCTAGGTTTATGGTTTGAACCCAGTGGACCGTTCTGCTAAACATGGTTGCATGTAATGAGACTTTACAAAAGGGATGGTTTCTTGCCTTCTTGGGTTTTAAAATCGGTGTAGTATCATTTTATGAATGTAGAGCTTCATAATATCCTGTTTTTCACTGAACAGCCACAAAAATGTATGTCAGTAAATTTCATTTAAATGCGTCTAAAGTTACTCCCTGTTTATCACAAGCCAGTCTGGATTTTAACAAAAAATCAGTCAAATGCAAACAATAAAGCAATGTAGAATCTACAGTAGAATTTAAAGCAATACAGAATCTACAGAATCTCTCACACTCTCTACGTGTGAGAGTTTATTCCCTGAGCTTCATGGAATGTTGTCACTAATCCTGTCCAAAATACAGGCATTTGGCTTATACTGTTGTTGTTTCAGACATTCTGGTCTTCTTCCTGGTGGCACCTACTTACCCTCAGGTTTCCATTTAGTCAAACTGGCCAGTGAGACTATGCCTACTCGTCTTAAATTAACTCGATTAAATCTCAAATTATTTGGGTGACAAAGCCTAGATTTAGCGTCTATAAGACCGTGATTACACTTGCTGTTTGTAGTATCCTCAAAGGGATGATCCCAAGAAGGAACTGATTAGAAGTGTGCTATGAGAGGATACTAGCAGGGTTAGTATGAAAATCAGAAACAGGTTTTTGTCTCCTGTGCCTAGTTTCTTATCTATTATAATTTACAAACAAGGGGTCAGGATGCAGCCCCTCAGCAAAGAGACTTTGAGCAGGAATTCAAGGTATGTCAGTGAAGCCTTTCCCAAGACTGTGTTTCACATACAAAATGGACAAGAGTATTCCAGTTATCCCCTACTGAAGTGACAAATGCTTTGTTTGAATCACTTTATCTTTTTTCCCCACAATGGGCAGTATTTGTGCCAAAAAGTTGACCCTGAGTTGGATGTCTGTTCACTAAGTAAATACCTGTGCTAATGACCTTGGAAATTAGTTCACGGTCTTGAAGAGAGTTGTTGTAGAAAAGATTGCCCTGCCCTGCCAGCCTCCATGAGTTCAGTCTGGATAGCTCTTCCACCTGATTGTTTTTTAAATTTGTCCACTGTGGGTAGAGCTTCTACTGATGTATTTTACTGTCTGTGTGACTTCTTTATTTTTCCAGTTTCTGTACTAAGTCCGTTAGGAAACTGCTTAAATGTTCATTATGTTCTTAAATTTTAAAAGATACCTTTAGGGAAAGGTATCTTTTAAAATTTGCTTTACATATTGCTTTACATAAACAGCAAGCTCATGTCATGATGATGTAGTAGCTACATCATGTTCTGGAGGTGTGACGTTCTACATTAAGCTTT